AAGCATTTAGTACAATGCTTGGTACCAGTAGCGGAACAATGCATGACCCCAGTTGATGATATGCCTCTTTGTGCATAGGTCTATCTCCTGTAACTGTACAAACTGATCATGTCTCCTTCACCCATGTTAGTCCTTCGGTTCCTAACAGGTATGATCAGGTTTCCTCTAAGCTGCGGCTGCTGTTTTCTTCCTCCTTCTCCTCCTCCCTCTCTTCCTCCTCCTCTTCCTCTAGTTTCTTCAGCGGGATCTCACAGGACATTTCTAGACCACTCACTATTACCCTATCACATCCTCCTCCATCCTTCCCACTATGGCTTGGGTGAAGAGGTCAGAAAATCACTGAGCAGAGCAGAGTCATAGTCTTCTTGGGTTTGTACACGTCTATTAATAAAGCCCATGAGCTTTTTTGTTTTGTTTGTTTGTTTGTTTGTGGTACTAGGGATCCGACTCAGGACCTTGCACTTGCCAGGCAGGCACTGCGCCACTGAACTATATCCCCAGCCTCCCACAGGTTTTCTGTGTTTTTGTTTCATTTTGCTTGCAATTCTGGGGACCAAACCCACAGCCTCACTCATACTAGGCAAGCACTCCGCTGCTGAACCATACTCCCAACCCTGAAGAATACACTTGTATCACCACTTAAGCAGCCATATTATATTCAGTTAACTGCACTGAGTTCACAGCCACCTCTAACACTATTTCTTTGCAGTCTGAAGTTATGAGATCACATTTTTTCACATTCTATATATGCAGTTAGTTTTATGAATCTTAATTTTTTTTTATGTTTGGCATCAGGACTCAAACTCGGGACCTTGTACTTGGGTGACAGGTGGCAGAACCACTGAGCTAAATCCTCAGCCGATTTCATGAATCTTTAGATGGATCATTTGACTTTTTTCCATATTTTATTTCATCTCCTCTGATTCAACCTATGTTATCCTAAAATTCTTTGGGATCTTAATTTTCTCTTCCATTTATGCATTGATTTTTTTTTTAGGAAAACGTATTGGTACATTTTAGATATATATAACAGTAACACCTAGCATAGGAAATTTGTACCTGTACATGGTATATCTTGTTTCTTTTTTTTCCCACTACCTTTGGGATCTTAATTTTCTCTTCCATTTATGCATTGATTTTTTTTTTTAGGAAAACATATTGGTACATTTTAGATATATATAACGGTAACACCTAGCATAGGAAATTTGTACCTGTACATGGTATATCTTGTTTCTTTTTTTTCCCACTCCCCTTTCAATTCCTCATCTCTTCCTTATTTAAAAAAGCTTTGTCTCTGTCTTTTCTTCTATTCTTTTTTCTCATTCCTTTTTTTCTTTCCCTCTCCCCATTCCTTGTTCCCCTTCTCATTTGAATATTTTCTGCCCATTTCCTGAAATCTATTATACATTTTGGTCCTTATTTACACTTTTAGTTTTTACACCAGAGAAACAATGTGGTATTTAAACATGTGTGTCCTGTTTATTTCTCTTAAGAGTATGGTCTAATATTTCAAGCTTATCTTTCTTTGTGGAAGAGAAGTACTCCATTGTATTAAAACACACACACACACACCTTCTTTATCCATTTATCAGTTGATGGGCATTTGGGCTATTTCCAATATTTAGCTATTACAATCCATGCTGCTAGAGACATAAGTCTGCATATATTGCTGTAGTATGATACTTTTAACTGTTTCAGGAAGATACCGAGATCGAACTTGGGACCTTGTGCTTGTGAGGCAGGTGGCAGAACCATTGAGCTAAATCCCCAGCCCTGTAGTTTTCATTTTTTGAGGAATCTCCACACTGATTTCCACAGTGGTTCCACCAGTCTATGCTCCCACCAACAGTGCAGAAAGGTTCCTTTTTTCCCCACAGCCCTGACAGCATTTGTTACTGGTTAATTTCATGATAATAGCCATTCTTTCTGAAGTGAGATGGAATTTCAGTGTTGTTTTAATTTACATCTCTTGAATGACCAGTGATGCTGAGTGTCTTTTCATATATTTATTTGCCATTTCTACTTCTTCATCTGAGATGTATCTATTCACTTTAGATCCCCATTTTTGGATTGGCTCTTTAGATTTGGGGGTGCTGATTTTTTTTAAGTCCTTTATGTATTCTAGATATTAGTCTTTCGTCCGAGGAACAGGTAGAGAAAATTTTTTTCCACACTGTGTTGTCTCTTCACTCTTAAGCATGAATGTTTTTTCTTTTTGAGACAGGGTCTCACTACGCAGTGCAGGCTGGCCTTGAACTCACTATGTAGTCCACACTGGCCTCGTACTTGTGGCAATCCTCCTGCCTCAGCTTTGTGAGTACTAGGTTACAGGTGTGTGCCACCACACCTGGCTTATGTATAGATCTTAAGGACAGAATCACTACAAGGTAAGATAATTCTTGTAAAGTGCTAAGCACAAATGACTCACACATGATAATCCCTAGATAAACATGAATAATTGTGGTTGTTATTTTCCCAACACTAAGTGCAGGACCTGGCTCACTGTAGATCCTCAGTAAATATTCATTGATTAATGAATGAATGATTGGATCAAAGATCCTGGAATGAATGAATTTCCTTTCTCCAAAATCTCAGGCTCGGTAAATTTCACATTATTTCTCAGAATAGGAAAACTTAAGCTCAGAGAGGTTAGTTAACTTGCCAGAGTTTACTCAGCCGGACCATGACTGAGACCAGGTAGAGGAACCAGTAGTGAAACCCAGGCCTGCCTGATTTCAAAGCATGTATGACTAATCCTTCCCTACTATGCTTCCTTACATCTGCATCGAGATCAGCAGAATTAGTAGAGGGGTCAAAATAAAGTCTGAGAGGCTTCTGAGTTTATGTGTCCAAAGCCCAAGAAAAGTTGAGTCTCCTGTTACGATCCTGGGACATGGAGATGCAGAAAGGATCAAGAGATGGGGAGCAGAGCACTAGAAGCCCCCTCTCACCTCCCTCTGGGCCTCTCATATTCCCTGTCCTAAACTCTGTTCCACTATTTCTCCCGAGGAACCAACAGCATGGCATGTCCCCGAGGAGATACTTCTGAACCCACGGAGCCAAGACTAGTGAGGTGACTCAACTGCTTGCCAAGACCAGGCCCAGTACAGTCAGGGGCCCAGAAGAGCAGGCACAAAGAGTGAGGAGACCTGCAGGAGACCTGTGGTTGCTACTCTGCCTTCACCTCTCTGGGTATCAGCTTCCTTTCCGTAAAAGTGGCAAGGAGATAATAGTCATCCTGCCAGCTTCTTAGGATGGCATGAGACACAACAGTGACGACAGATGTTTACTGAGAGCCACCTTTGTGCCAGCTACTATCCTGAGTGCCTTTTATATCCTCTCAATTGTCCCTATGAAATGGGTATATTGTTTACTCTCACTTTTTTCTTCTCATCAATAAGAAAACCAATGCTCAAGGAATTTTATTTTATTTTGATTTATTTTTATTTTTATTTTTGGAACCTTGTGCTTGCAAGGCAGGTGGCAGCACCACTGAGCTAAATCCCTGGCCCTGCTCAGGGAAGGCTTCTAACTCTGAATGACCAAACTGAAGTTCAAACTGTGTGGCCTTGTGAGCCCTTCAGAACTGAGAAATCAGGGATGAGAACAGTGAAGCATAAAATAAGCCTGAACTCTTTGGGCAAGAATGTGCCGCACAGTTACAGGTTGCTGCTAGGGAAGAGCCTTTCCCAAGAAGGTGGTTGCACAGATTTGAAAGTTAAGGTGAAAGGGCTTCTCCCACCTGCAGTGATCAGACTGAATCCCTAGAGTGGAAAGTAGGAGGAGATGCTCCTTGTAGAAGAGAGTTCCAGGGCAGGTTGAGGTGGGAGAGCAAACTCCTTAGGTGTCCCTCAGATTGGCTACTGTCTATTCAAAGCCGAGGCCTTCAAGGAAGAAGAGCAGGAGCGTGCCGCCAATCGCCTCCATGCTGCAGCGGACTTGCATAGTCCAGAGGTGGCAACCTTGGCTCCTGGTCCTCCACAGGACCGAGGGTTAGGGTGGCCCTGCCCTGCACCTCCAACCCGGTGCTGCTGGAGTTCCCGGTGTGCCTACTCTTGGAGAAGCCTCTCCCAAGGCCGGGGATGTAGCTCAGTGGTTCCACCGCCTGCCTGGCAAGCAAAAGGTCCTGAGTTCAATCCCCGGTCCAAAAAAGAAAAAGATGAAGAAGCCGCTCTATATGAAGTGTCAATAAATGAATCGATGGATGGAGAGTTGGGAATAGCTTATCCAATCATTGATGGGATTCCTAATATGATATATGATACCACAAGCAGCTAGACAACACATCAAAATAATAAGAAAGAGAGCAGGCTGGGGATTTAGCTCAGTGGTTCCACCACCTGCCTTGCAAGCACAGGTCCTGAGTTCCATCCCCTGTACCCAAAAAAACAAAAAACAACAACAACAACAACAAAGCAGCACTAAATTATCATTTAAAAAACACGACTAAGTTTTCTTAATACTCTATATAATTTAAACTACAGCGGTGAGTAGTGAGGAAAAAGAATGTTTCTTGTTTCTATCTCTGCCTACAGTGACTGTTCTTATTCCACTGATCTCCTTAGCAGCACTCTTCTGCTCCGGCTCTGTGGAGGAAAACTTTGCATGGGACTGCGCCAGCACAGCCAGCCTTTGCTTTTACAGTCTGCTTTTTCCCAACACCATACCAGTGGATGTGTTCTTCGACCTTTGGACTTGGATGGGTATTAAACTCTTCAGACATAATTAAGGCAACCATGGCCAAGATGGCTTATGTATTAAGTCTTTTTTTTTTTTGTACCGGGGATCGAACTCAGGACCTGTGCTTGCAAGGCAGGTTGTGGAACCACTGAGCCAAATCCCCAGCCCTTATATATTAAGTCTTAAAAGCATTTGTCTCTGAAAGCTCAACTGGATGGACATGCTGGAGACCCATGGAGTTTGGAGGAAAGTTGCTTTGCCTTTCTTAACTCAGGTTTAGGACTAAGAGGCTTAAACTGCAGAAGCTTTGACTGTACTTCTGTTCCACCCTTTTTGAGGATTCTGACTGCTGTATCAGAGAAGCATTTCAATAAAATGTCTTGATGAAAATTAACTCCCCTAATCATGAAGAGAAGAGGAAGGAGAAGGAGAAGAGCAGGGCTCTGATGAGGGCTTAGATGATGCTCCACTGGGGTTAAACCAAGCAGAAGCTCCACTCTTTCCAGACCTTCCAGAGAAACCAGGAACACAAAGTCCAGGAAATAAGAACTTGTGGTATGCGGTACCACCTGGGACCCCTTCATCCCCTGTCTCTCTGCCCTTGAGTTTCCTGCACCCAGTTTCTAAACTGTTCTCCTTGTACCCGTAGACATCTCTTTGGCTTCCCAGCACCTCCCTGCAGGCTCATTCTCCTCTCACACACACCAGGACTCTGTCTGCCATGGCAGCTCCTCTGTTTATCTCAAGTTCCCAGGGTCACCACTAGCCAAACACAACAAAGCCAGGCCAGGGAGAGCTCGGCTCCAGACTCAAATTGGCCCCTCTGGGACAGGTCTCAAAACCAAGGAGGCAGCTCAAAGGTAGGCTGTCCCATGAATTGGGCTCTTGCTTCAGGCCCTGACAACCCAGGTTTCAGGAGTGGAGGGAAAGGACACCAGATCTGCCCACAGCTGGGCAGGAGTCCCTACCATTGAGACAGCTTTGGCTGGGAGCCTTGGGAATCAAAGGCCCAGCTGCAAAAAGGTAGGGAAATGTTTTGAGGCCCCCAGGATGAGAGCCAGAGACTTGGACTTCTGGTTCTCCCCGTGTGTCTCCTCAGCCAGGTGGAGCCTGGACCTGAGCCCTCCGCCTGAGGACTGAGGTCCCTAAATTTCCCCACCAGGGGGCTGTGTTTCTCTCCCAGAAATTCGTGTCCTAGACATCTCCCAAGGCTCTAGCCAACAAAAGGAAGTGAACATTCACTCTGGGCCAAGCACCAAGCAGGAAATATTGTCAGCAGGTGCCTAGCACCAGTCTGCCTGAGGCCTGTGGCAGTGTATTTATCTAATGTATAATTATGTACTTACAGGATGTAAAATGGGAAAAGAAGGGGTTCCAATTCTGACTCCGAAGCTCTGGAAGGTGATGAGCGAGTGGTGAGGGTCCGGAGCTGGAGGACAAGGTCCTGTGGGAAGGAGGTCAGGGAAAAACGCAGACACCTCCACAGGGAGAAGACTGCTGGCAGCCCATCCCTGGCAGCCCACGTTTTGCAGTGGACAAGCAAAGGGGCCTTTAAATGGTACCCAGTTAATTCTGTGAGTATGGAGGGCAGGGGGTTCAGGACAGATGCTGGTGAGTGATGTAGGGATGATTTTCAAGAAAACAAAAGCCCCAATATCCCTCTCATTTTGAGATCCATTTTGGAGCCAACAAACGAAGGAATATAAAAATCTAACTCTGTTGCCAAGCCCCAAAAGAGGAGAACACACACACACACACACACACACTTAGGGACCAATGGGCTTTTGGAAGGAACAAGAATGAGGTTAGAGGTGAGCACCAGCCCTGCCCAGTTGCTCTTCTATGTCTCATTCTGCTTCGGTTCCCAGGGGTGGGGGTGGGGCCTGACCTTGTGCATAAGGCAACCCACCTTCCCTCCGTGGGTTAGGAATTTTGGGGGGGTCAGGGGTCCCCTGGAATGAAGAAGTCTGCCACAGTTTTAGGAACAGTTTTGCTTTTTATGTCATCAATGTACATTTTAATCTAAATCTTCTTTCTCATTCTGCTTCGGTTCCCAGGGGTGGGGGTGGGGCCCGACCTTGTGCATAAGGCAACCCACCTTCCCTCCGTGGGTTAGGAATTTGGGGGGGGGTCACGGGTCCCCTGGAATGAAGAAGTCTGCCACAGTTTTAGGAACAGTTTTGCTTTTTATGTCATCAATGTACATTTTAATCTAACAGTCTAATGGCCTCGTACATCTCATGACCTTGTGCATAAGGCAACCCACCTTCCCTCCGTGGGTTAGGAATTTTGGGGGGGTCAGGGGTCCCCTGGAATGAAGAAGTCTGCCACAGTTTTAGGAACAGTTTTGCTTTTTATGTCATCAATGTACATTTTAATCTAACAGTCTAATGGCCTCGTACATCTCACCCCTGCCCAAGCCCACTCCGCTGTCTCCCACCCCAGCCCCATCAGCATCTGGGCAGAAAGTCACCAGGCACAAAGGTGATTCAAAGAGGAAGTGGCACCTGTGGCTCTCCCTGGAGATGCTTAGAATGGCACCTGATCCCTTGGAGAGGCCAAAGACCAAGGAGGCTCAGGTAAGGGGAGATGGCAGGCTGAGTCTCATTGGAAAACACTGTCTTCTGGGTCTCAGTCTCATTCAGAGTGTGTCCCCTGAGGTCGTCCCTGCCAGTCAGAGCACCAGAAGAGCAGAAATCCTCAGACGGACTAAAGGGGACCTTGAGGCTGAGTCACACTCAGAATGAGCGAGGCTGCTGGAATCCCCTTTCATGCATGCTGTGTAGGTACTTCTGGCTGCAGCTTCCCAACCCCACTGTGATTCCAAGAGCGTGAAGGACTCTCAAAATGTGCTACCCCAGAAGACAGAAGGCCAGTGCTGCTACCTGCAGCCACAAGACTCCACAACCATGTCCTCATACTGCTTATACACCACGTTGTTGGCAGAGTCAATGAAGAGGATGCTGATGGGACTCAGCCGTGTGGGCACGCAGCAGGTAGGTGGCGTGGACTCAGGGTCCATAGAGTTCATCAGGGTCTGGATGACTGCGTGGTTTGTGGGCTCCAGGTGGGAGCGCAAGGGGAATTCACACAGCCCTTCACAGTGGAAGGCCTCATACTCAAGAGGTGCGATGATCCAGTCATCCCAGCCCATGTCCTTGAAGTTGACGTGCAGGGCCTTCCGACTACAGCGGGCCTTAAGGTTCTTGCTAGGTCTCTTGCCCTGGCGAGTGGCCAGTGGGGCCCGTCGTTTCCGCCGCTGGCTAAACAGATACTCGTACACGGTCTTATCATCCTGGCCAGAGCGGGCCTTAATCTCATTAAAGAACAGGTCCCGTTTCTTGGTGCGGCCAAACACCAGGAACAGGGCCTTTTCATGGACCTGCCGGGCAGCCCGGTCAAAGCCCAGGCCACGGAGGTCCACAGCCCGGCCACGTTCCCAGGCCTCCAGCTCCAGGCACAGCTGGGCCGAATTCTTGAAGTTTCGGAAGAGCTTCCAGATGTCGAACACCTCCCAGCCAGACCCGTCCAGGCCTGGCACAGAGCGCACATCCAGCAAGGCTGCCGGCTGCCGGCCGCTGGGGCAGCTGGACAGCTTCAGCTGGGCAGCCCGCCCACTTCCAGGGGCCACTGGCTTGGCTGTGTCTGAGGACCTCTTCCGCAAGATCCTCAGCTCGGCCCCCAGCAGCCCATCCTTCTCCAGGGCACTAATGTCAAACACGTACCTCTGCTTCCTGACCACAGGGCCTCGGTCATCTAGAGAGAACAGCCAGAAGTTAATTTCTGCAACCTCACCAGCAAAGCCAGTCACCTCCAAGCCTCAGGGGAAGGCCTCGCTCTCTCCCCCTCAAGAGAGCTTTCTTTAACCTCTTCCCTAATGAGCAGAGGCCAACACCCCAAGCCACTAAGAGCCTTTTTCAGAATGAGGACACTTCCTACATAGCCGACCATGTAGGAATATGTATCTGTAGGGGTGGCTGTGCATGACTTACTTGAGTGATGGGGTGTTTGTGGCAAAGATTGATGTGTGTTAGAGCCATAACTGCCTTCAATCCTTCTGTCTTTCTCCCCCATCCATGCTCTAACCTCATAATTCATTTGTGAGACAGTTGCAATGTACATTAAAATTATCCTTTTACCAGAAGAGGAACCTAAAGTCCAAAGAAGCTACATGAATTGCCCAAAGAAAAAAATAGAGTTGGAACTCTAGCTTAGAATTTTTATACCCCATCCTGAGCCGCTTCCACCATGATGCCTTAAAAAAGTAGTGTTCTTGTTTTGCAGAGGAGGCACAGAGATGAGGAGTGACTTAACTTAGGTCACATAGCAAGTTAATGACAAAGCTGGTCTACAACCCAATTTCCCTGGCTTCCTAGTCGCCCAAAGAAAAAAATAGAGTTGGAACTCTAGCTTAGAATTTTTATACCCCATCCTGAGCCGCTTCCACCATGATGCCTTAAAAAAGTAGTGTTCTTGTTTTGCAGAGGAGGCACAGAGATGAGGAGTGACTTAACTTAGGTCACATAGCAAGTTAATGACAAAGCTGGTCTACAACCCAATTTCCCTGGCTTCCTAGTCTAAAAAAAATAGAGTGTAAGATAGTTTGTGTGTATGTGTGTGACTAAGTTCATTTGTGCAAATGCAAGGTAAGATATGTGACATGTTGTATGTATGTATATTTGGACTTGTGTGACTATTTGAAGGGTGTGCATATATATGTGCATGAGGCTATGTGTATACAGAAGAAGGTGTGTGTGTGTGTGTGTATGTGTGTGTGTATGTGTGTGTGTATGTGAAAGAGAGAGAGGGAGGGAGGGAGGATCAGTATTATCTCTGAATCAGCAAGCACTCTTTTCTGAATACCAACTCGCCATTGGGGAACATTCATATATTGCTCTAGAAGGTAACTAATTAGGCCTTTAAACTCTCCATTTCCCCCTCCCCAAGCTCCCTTAGTGCTGGGGGGCACAAAGACTTATTTTATGAGCCCCCAAGGGGTCACAGCTTTCCCTGACTGGGCAGGCAGCCAGGCCACCTCCCCCACCTCAGCCAGACCTGCTGCCTCTGTGCCTGCCCCCATCCACCCCGTGTCGTTCCCCCCACAGACCAGCGCTAATGAGGAGCCTCTCCCACTCAGCCCCTCCCCCACCCCGCCAGCCAAAGTCCCAAGATCAAAACCAGAGCACAGGAGCCGCAAGCAACCTTAGCTACCAGTGGTCTATCTCCCTCTTAAGACTGCGGAGAAACTGAGGAACTCATTGAGATCACAGCAAATCCAGAGGAAAGACTGAGGCAGCAACACAAGGTGGGAGTGGGAGAAGCGAGGAGAACAGGTGTTCTGGGTTAATGATGAAAATGATCTGTGTTTAAGATAGGACATAACGTTTTCACCTTGAAAGACTCTCAGAAAGCACCCCGTCCAGCCCCTATATATGCATACCGATGGTGAAAAATGAGACTCCAAGGTGGGAAGGGGCTTTCATACTGTTAGATTCTGTTTCCCTCTTTACTGTCTTTACCTCTCCTGCCTTCTCTGCCCCCTAACTAGTGAACAAAGTTGCAGAACCATGGTGACCTAAAGATCTATTTCTCTCTTTGCTCAGAAAACCCTGGAATTGGACTGCAGCTTTAACTCAGTGACACTGTGCCTGCCTTGAAAGCACAAGGTCCTGAGTTCAATCTCTAGTACAAAAATAAATAAAGATAGACAGATAGATAGATAGATAGAGAATCCTGGAGCTTGGAAAGTTTGGCCAATCCACACAGGTAGAGAGCATGGCCCAGTAATCAAGAGCCTTGGAATCTAGTCTCCAATTCTGCCACCAACTGACAGGTCTTATCTCCTCTCTGGGCTTTAGTGCGCCCCTCTGGCCTTGCAGGAATTGGACTTGGTGAACCCTAGATGCCCTCCTGGGCTGGCATGACAGAAGCTTGGACCTGTCTGTGTGAGATAAGTTCCAGTCACCCACCTGGGTGCACCCAGGCTGGATGCACCTACTGTCCCTGGCCTGTACGGCAGCCTCAGAGCTCTGGAAGCCCCTCAGTGCATGCAGATGTCCCTCCCTGCCACCCTGCCGCCTCACCTTGCCCTTTGTCAATGAAGCTGGTGATGGTGTTGGCCAGGCCAGCCTCCAACTTCACGCTCCTGTTGCTTCCCTTTCTGTCAGCATCGGACAGCGTCCTGTACAGCGAGAGCATGTACTCGTGGGGTGTGATGGGGGGTGGGCGGAAAGGCTCCTTGGGCTCTCGAGGGGGGCCAGGCTTCCTGGACTTCTTCAGCAGAAAGGAACTTGGGACAGATCCTGCTTTGGGGGGTGCCTTGCCCCCCGGAAGCTGTCCTTTTGGGGTTATAGTCCGTGATGCAGCCTGCTTGATCTGAGGAGGGGATCCTGGCTTGGGTTCAGGACCACTAGATCTAGGGGGCAGCTTTTTGGGTTCATCTTTCTTGGCCTGTGTCTGCTCAGCACCTCCCTGGGCCTTGGCATTGGCGGCCCCCCCACTGTAGCTGTGACCCCCTGGCCTAAAGATGTTCCGGGCCAGGGGGGGCCTCTCCTTGGCCTCCGCTTTGGCCAGTCCTGGCCTTGCCCCCGAGGATCTCTGGCCCAAGTCAGGGGCACCCAACACAGTGCAGGTGAGTTGCAGATCCAAACAAGCCAGGTGCCAAAGCAAGAAAGTGAGGAGTTTGGGGAGTCTCATCCTCTGGCCAGCTGCTGAATGACACCAGAGAGAACGGCAGCAGCAAAGGTGCCTCTGGCTTGGCAGGAAAAACCATGAAAGGAGTGGACCTTCAGGAGCAGTGGCAGCAGCAGGAAGGGCTTTCTCTTCAGTCTGAGACTCTTCAAGTCCGCCGGGCGTGTGTCTGTATCCAGTCCCATAGTGGAAATGCTCCCGTATCCAGACGTGCACCGTCTCCAGTCAGCAGCTGAAAATAACTCGTTCTTGAAAGGAGAAAGCCGACCGCCCCCTTTCTCCCACACAACTGACTGAGGGCTTGAAGGAGGCTTGTATAAGGCTGAGAGATTTTTCCAAGAAGGAAGAATGGCGTAATGCTGCCTGTGTGCTCCAGTTTTTTTTCCCCTCTAGTTTTGAATCCTTTCCAGTGAAAATACTTCACACACACACACACACACACACACACACACACACACCCTGCAGGTGCTCAGAAAAATCTTTTACAAACCTGAACTCAAGAATTGGAAACGGAATTCCAACCCAAACCAATTTAATTACTCTCTGATGTCATGCTGTCTAAATTCATTTAAGTGCGATATATTTATGTGAAAAAAAATCACCGCTGCCCTTTGGAGGCCATGGCTCACAGGGGCTCTTGGCACTGAGCCCCACAGCGGGCCTTGAGGCTTAGGGGGCCTCTCAATCCCCGGAGCAGATTCAGGGGTCTTCACCTCCACCTCGCAGAGCAGCCCACCCCACCACCCTGCAGAGCGACATTGAGGAGTGAGCTCAGAGATCTGAAACCACAGAAGCATGGGGAGTGTGGGTTTTCAGCGGAGTCCTTGTGTTTTTAAAGTAGTTTCAATCCTTGTGTCTATAGTCTGGGACCTGATTTGTTGTGTGTGTGTGTGTGTGTGTGTGTGTGTGTGTGTGTGTGTGTGTGTGTGTGTGGGGGAATGTGTGTGTGTGTGTGTGTGTGTGTGTGTGTGTGTGTGTGTGTGTGTTGGGGAGGCAGCACACATGGGGGCGTTTACCCACAGTTTCTTTTATTTTAATAAACTTGTGGTGACCCAGAGACAGAAAAAATATCAGTGCCCACTACACCCCTCCCTCCCCCAAATGCCATTGGCTGAGCTTAGATGATTCCTCCAGCCTCGGGGGCACTGCTAGCCTTGAGCCCGGTGCCACTAACCCATCAAAGACTCCTCAGTTTTCTTCGATTGGCTGAGCTCAGAAGCAGAAGTCCCAGTCTGGGGCAGCAGCGGCCCC